GCCGGCGGTGCTGGCCCGGGGTGCTCGGCCGGGGGCTGGCCCGGGGCCGGCACCCCAGGGCGCGAGCCGAGCCAGGCTGGAGACGCTGGGGCCGGGGCCGGCCGCCGGAGGGGGCCAGACTGGGCCGCGCCTCCTCCCCCCACCCCCCCAGCTTGCCTGCTTCCTGCTTCAGGCTTCCCGCGAATCAAATGTTCGCGGGAAGCAGGGGTGGGGGCGGAGTTGGGGCGGGGACTTTGGGGAAGGGGTGGAGTTGGGGCGGGGGGCGGGGCCCCGTAGAGTGTCCTCTTTTTGGACACTCAAAATATGGTAACCCTAGTTTACAGTTTGGTTCAATGGCTCTCAGCACTGCTACTATACAAATTGTTCCAGCACCCCTGGTTGCAGGGTCTATATTTTCAACTCCAGGCAAGTGAGACAGTCAGGAGAAATTATTTCTCTTTTTAGTCTTTGACTTGGGAACTATGGAAACAAAGGGCCCAATCCTGCTCCTACTGAAATCAATGGGAGTTTTGCGCAATGGAACCAGGATGAGACTCCAAATGGAGACTATTGTGAGTTAACTCAGTGTGTGTATGTTTGTGTGCTCAGCAATGCTGTTACAATAGAGATGGCATGCTGGGAAATAGTATGTTTTCTTACTTTTGGTGATGACTAAGAGAAATCTATTTTTTTAAGTGTGTGATTTTCTCTGATTTGAAAAAAATTGCACAACCTTATGTTTTCTGTGTGTTTGTGTGTTTTTAAAATCAGACCGACGACACTGTGTACCTTCTTGTTTTGTAGTGATGTGCTAAGCAGCCTTATTTTCTGATCAGTATGACAGGAGCTGCACACAAAAAAGCCTATACATCTGTAATGCGCAAGGTTACCATGATGTTGCCTTGTTTTCTTATAGGGGAAAAGGGATACCTCTTTTTACAGAGGAAAATTATGATAGCTTGTCAGGGATTGAGCTTGTCAAAGTGTGAGACTGCAGGTTAGAATTTAGCCCATCCAAATTTCTAACATCTCTGCCAGTTATGATTGTGAATATTAGCTCAGAATGTTATAGTTAATAAAAAAAATCTGCTGGCAAGATGCAGGGATATTTTGTGGCTCTCTATATATTTTTAAAGTTTCTTAATTACACAGTATTGTAAATGAGGGTACAGTGTACAGAAAGAAAAAGTTTTCTTTTCTTACTGCTCCACTCCATGATGGGTGCAGTTAGGATGTCCTGATACTAAGTAATATAGGACCAGATGCTCAGCTAGTGTGAATTCTTGTAGATCACTGAACTGCGATGGAGCTGTGCCAATTTATACCAGCTGAGGACCTGGCCAGAGGTATTTTGCACTAGTGCTTTGTGTTACTACAGACCAAAAGTTGATGACAAGCAGCTAATCAACTGCATACATAAGCTGCCTCCTCTCTCTCTGTACACAAATTTGTATGGGTACTGCAATAGCAGCCCTACAGCTATTAGCCCTACTGCTGAGAATGACAACAGGCCTCTGATTGGTTGCTGAGGTGTGTCATGTATGGGATAGAGAACAGACCATTCGAAATCTTCTTTTATTCAATAGTTAACATTCTGATGGAGAAGTATTTTAACAAGGAAACATGGAGTCAACATCTTTTTTTTCCTTTTATCCTGTAAATTGCACTTTCCTATCAAACACAATTTAGAATTTTCTTTACAGAGACATTTCAGTAGTAATACCTAATAATAATACCTAGTACGCAGCAAAAAATAAAATAATTAAATGGGCCCAAAACATTCCCAGTCTTTAAAAGTATGGAAAAGGAGGCAGACCCACTTGAAGTTAAGCAGTATACTGTAGCTTTAGTATATGTTTAGTTCCATTTAAGTATACAGTGCTCTGAGTGAACTAAATATAATACAGTAATGAAGCTGTTTGAGGCATATTTGCTGACCATTGACTTTGATTGGCTGCCTGGGTGTATGACACA